CTAAACCGTGATTTATTTTGCACATTTCTAGCTCTTATCCTTCCACAGTTTATTAAACTGCCCAATGCATCCAGCTTTCTTGGAGCACAATGTTAATATTTTCTCTTTACCACTAAAAGGCTTGCAAGTCAGCCCCTGGTGTCCTAAATAATCTGGGAATTTATCATCAGACAAAATATGGGCCTTGATCCAGCAGAACGAACCCCACTGAAATCAAGTATCTTAAGCACACTTAATTCTGTGCTGACTATGACTGATGCCTGCAAAGAGTTTCTACATATCTTTTTAATTACATTTCCCCCCTCCCTTTCTCACTGTCTCAGTGTTAGTTTGTTTATAATGCTAATAAAACATAATCTGCTAAAGGTCTTGGAGGCCAAAAGGCTGTCTGTACAAATAAAACAGAAATAAACCAATAAGCTGCTTCTCACAGGTCGCCACAAAAAAAGTACCACAATAAAGCATATTTTATTTCACACATACATGCAAACCTAACCCTCAGAAACCAACTAGGGTCTAGCAGTAGAGGATTTCAGATTTTTGGAACGTGAGGTAAAGCAAAACGTTGGTCTGTCAGAAAAAATTCCATGTTCAGGGAATACCTCTAGCGAGGCTGACAGAGTGGTGGGCCGAGGGTGGAAGACTATCCTGCTTAGACAGGATTCAGGATTTAATTTTTTTTAAAAAAAAGATTGTTACATCTGGCAGATTTCTGAAATCTTTGTACATTCCTGGAGAAGAGACAGAGAAATCCAACTGCTAAAGATTTACGGTGGGGTAAAAAGAAGTTGAGTTTTTTGTGTCCTTGAAATGAACTACGATTTTGAATAGTGGTGTACAGATTTCTGCAAAAACACAACTCTGCCCATCTGTAAACTTGCCCATGATAAGCAGAGTGGTACAGATTTGTGAGCTTCGACTACAACTCCCAGAATCTCAGGAAAATCAGACTTGCAAAGTTTTTGGGAGGGAGGACTGTAAGTCCCAGAAAACTATGGATGCTGGGAGTTGTAGTTCAAGAAACAAAAACAAACAAGCTGTACATACACCTCTGCAGGCAAAGGAAAAGGAAAACTGGAGGAGCTCGATGAAAGTGGAAATGACACAGCTCTTCCCCATGTCCTGGAGATGCTCTAATAAGAAAACAAACATCACTCATCATACTTGAAGATGTGTATTCTATTCTAGGGCATTTGACGCTTTTATGCTAAAATAAAAGAATACGTGCACTTGTCATCCATCCTTGTAAAGCTGTGTTTAAAGCCCAGCATAAACAAAAAGGCATGCCCATCTATTTCCTTTCCAGGCATGTGTGCCTACTTGTTTCGTTGACAGTGTTAAGAAAACAGAATAGCACAGCTATCTGTAGTTGTGAGGCTTATATTGTGGTAGAAAGGGCTGTCCAGTCCCATCCTATCTTCAGTTGTGGATTATATGTACTCAGGCATTGCTTCTCTAGTTCAGTCCAACTGGATTCTGGCTCATGTAAATAGCCTACATTCTCTTCACCCAGTAGCCAACCTATTGCCTAGTGCGGTGGTTCCCAGTCTTAGGTAACCTAGGTGTTATTGGACTGCAACTTCCAGAAGCCTTGTGCTCGGCTGGAGTTTCTGGGAGTTGCAGTCCAAGAACACCTGAGTTGGTTGTTGTGGGTTTTGAGTTGCAGTCCAGGAACACCTGAGTTATCCACTAGCCCAGTGGAAACCTGCAAACAGCACACAAAGATAGTAGCAACTTCCATCTCATATTGTTCAGCAACTGAAGGCCAAACTATACAGTACATTACAAATAATCCACCAGGAGATCCCATAGTGTTCTAGATATCCATGGGCAAAAAATCAGATGTGCCAAATATGTTTCTGTTTAGCTTCATTAAAAAAGAGTAGAAGCTAATGAGCAGAGGTGAGAAAAGCTTTAACTGACAATCAGATATTTCCATCAGTCAAGGAATTTCTTCTCCTAATAACGGATTATCTGTAATGAACAATTGTGCCCCAATATAGAGGCACATTAGAGACATAGTGGCGCTGTGGATTAAACCGCTGAAGCCTCTGTGCTGCAAGGTCAGAAGACCTGCAGTCGTAAGATCGAATCCACGTGACGGAGTGAGCCCCCGTCACTTGTCCCAGCTCCCGCCAACCTAGCGGTTTGAAAGCATGCAAAATGCAAAAATGAGAGTAGATAAATAGGTACCACCTTGGTGGGAAGGTAAATAGTGTTCCATGTCTAGTCACGCTGGCCGCATGACCACGGAAACTGTCTTCGGACAAATGCTGGCTCTATGGGTTGGAAACAGAGATGAGCAGCACCGCCTAGAGTCGGACACATCTGGACAAATTGTCAAGGGGAACCTTTACCATTTATAGGACCACATTGCCTCTAATATTGGAAATGAACCACAGCCACTTTGACGGCACTAACTGCTATAGATGCATGTAATTTCCTTTCAAATACCTCCTACACTGACAGCCATCATCCCATCCTGTGACAGTAAATTCCACAGTCTAACTATGCATTGTGTGAAGTTATACAGTATGTCCTTTCATCTGTTTTGAATCTTCCATCATTCACCTTCAATCCTGCTGTGATCCAATCTTATGAGCGAAAAAGGAAGGCTCCTTCTTATCCATTTACTCCAAGCCATGCCTACTTTCAGAGAACTCAGCCACGTCTCCCCTCATTTGCCTTCCCCCTCGGGATAAATTGTAGTGCATAACCTCATACAGGAAAAGGAGAAAGAATTCACAGATCCTGATTGCATACTATGACACTCGGGCACACTTTAACAGTGCTGTTCATTACCTACTAACTTTGAGCTAAAACTAGAACCACGCTTGTTCTCATTGCCACAAGACTCTTCTGGAAAACACACAAAATCTGAGTCAAGATTGACACATGTCAAAACACGGGCAGAGTAGAGTGCCTTTTGTTACAGCACTAAATTAATCACAGGAGATCCCCAGACATCTAGATTCGGGGGAAAGCTTGTAGTGAGAGCATCTGATTTCTTAGTTATCTTAACT